GGAGGGACCTTCAGAGACGGGCTTTGGAAAAAGTCCTAACTAGTAGGGGTCTATCCTTGCAGACAGTGACTTTGTGTCCAGTAAATAAAATGCACGGTCTCGTGCTACCACATGATTTTCTGTTCTTCCTTCCAGGGAGTGGAGGCAGAAGGGAGACAAACCCGGGAAGGATGCTTTGCGTACAAGTTACATAGCGATCAGTGCATTTTTTTTTCCTCCAGTTTCGGAAGTAAAGTGTTGTTTTAAAAGAGATGATGCATTATCTATTCTTGGATTTTTTTATAAGGCAAACTGTGGGCCTCGCTGTTGCCATGGGATCTTCTTTGTGCCAACTCTCAGAACTGTGTGGGAACAGTTTTATTTCCTTCCCTTCAGGTTTCTTTCTTCCCCCCCCCTTTTTTTCTTCTCTTTTTATTCCCCCCCCCCCCATTTTGAAGCGCTGTAGCAAAATGTAACTGCATTATTGCCAATTAAGACTAACAGCAGCTGCAAGGTGCAGCTAATTAGAAATGTTAATTACTTCACAAAATAAATAGTCGTTTGCAGATGCTTATAGTGTTAAACAAATTCTCTCTAAAATCGAACTTGGTAAAATTCTGACCCCCCTCCTCGATGCACACACACACACAGCACATACTATCCATGCCAATTCATTCACCCATTAAAGAGATACATAAAGCCAGAGTTAAAAACAAAGTGATGCCTGGTATTTAGTAGGTGGGTGAGGGAGTGTGTGGAGGAGGAGTAAAATAAGCAGAGGAATTCCATTACTTTTTTAAAGAAATTGAGGCTGAGTGTGTGCGTGCGCGTGCACACACACACACACAATGCATGTCCCAACTTAATCTTATGTTGCTTATACATCCTTGCCATGCTTATGCATTATTTAATGAATGTTATAGAGATATAGATATAAAGCTTTATATCTCTGTAAGCAATACGCATTAAATAATATCTAAGCATGCATGGATGCATAATAAACATGAGATTATGATGGGATGTGCATATTCCAGGTTCTTTGTGTTAAAGTGTGTAGAAGAGCATGAGAAATGATTAATTCCCTCACCATCAATTTTCCTGAGTAGATGAGCATGCACAGAAGTATTGGAGTTTATTAAGTATTATGATAAAAGGTTAATGATGGGCAGTATGGGAATTGTAGGCTGCAAGGATCATGGGAGTTGTGGTAAAATTAGCTTGAAGCTTAATCTCCTGGTGCAGAATGTCACACGTTCTAATGGATTTGAAAAAAAAGGCGATCTTGAAGTGACTGGAATGCAACAACTAGTAGTGAAAAGTCATTCTGAGGGGCTGGAAATCAATAATCCTAGTTAACTAGGTGATTAGATACTACTGTGATGGCTGATCATTTTTATAGATAGGTAAGATGGACATGAAAGAAAAGTCATTACCAAAGAGAATCAAGCTGAAAAACAACATTTAGCAGACATCTGAAGTCTGATCAGTGAGTCACAATGTACAGCTGGAATGCTGAGAGCTCTAGAATCCCTTGTAGCAAAGCTGAGGAAATACTGGAAGGAAAATCGGTCCCCTGGTTAAAGTTTTGGACAAGTACTCAAGACATCTTGGTTCAGCTCCTGGATCTGATACAGATTCCTTGTGACAATGCAAGTCACTGAATCACTCTGTTTTCATCCCTCTTCTGTATAATGCGGGATAACATTTTTTTCTAACTCATGTGGGAGCAATTGAGGATAAAAATTCATTAATGTCTGTGAGGTGTTCAGATACCATAGTGACGGGAGATGCATAACAGCCTAGACAGATATCAGTTGGCTGAAAGACTGTCTAGAGGAAGGAAAAAGAATTTTTTGTGGAATGCAGAGAGTGTGGAGCAAAACATTTAGTATCTGATATATTTATTATAGTGGCTACAGTTAGACAGAGAAAAGCAGTACTGTTCTTGAGACTATAGAGGTTGAGAGTAGGCAGGTACATAAAATACTCCATGTCTAAATGTAGGTTATTTTTTTTTCTTATTTACAACTAATACTGTGTAGGTGTATATATGTGCTAACCTCCCTAAGCACCATGCTGAGTCCTCACTTAATCTTATCCTCTGTTTGAGAGATCCAGCATTCGACAGAGGGCAAGCAAGGATGTGCAGAATGTGTATTAACATCTTCAGTGTAATATATACCAAATATATAAAATACCAAAAACAGTATGGTTAAGGGGATGAGGGAAAGACCCTAACTGGCTCTTGATGATGAGGAACCTGTGTGCATTTTGATATATTACATTCAGTGGAGCTTTCAGGTGGTAGTTGCATCTCTTCTGTATGGGAAACAAAGAACTTCAGTCATCTCCATGGCTCTGTCATACTGTGAGGATATTATTCCATTGACACCCTGCTTTAGAGAATGAGGGTTTCCAAAAGGAGCAAAATTAGAGGTGTAACAAGCATGTTTGTGTCCCCCTGTGGGCTGGGGGGAATGTAAGTGTGATTCTGAGAGAGACGTTCAGGAATCTTACCTATGCTTTGGGAAGTCCAAAACAGTCCCTGACAGTTGCTGCTGCTACCACCATCAATGTGTTCTCTACTGCCCTGGCTTTACTCTTGAAGCTGCAGAAGCAGGGTATCCTGCACCATGTGCAGCAACTTCAAGAACAATGCCACAGGAGTGCAGACTTCACAGGATAATTCCTGAAGTCAGTGGGAGTCCTTTAATTGATTGCTGTGGATCATAGATCATAATCATTATTCAGCTGCCGATCTTCCCTTCTTAACTTGGTACCGCAAGCTGGTGCCCCTTTCGCCCAACCCTACTTACGCTACTGAGCAAAATAGCTTGTTCTAAGTGTTGCTTTTAATGCTGTTAAATTTGATCAATATTGGATTAATTAATAATGCAGCATATACTATTCTATGATGTGTATATATTTTGAGGCAATGTGTCCTTTGAAATCAGGTGGAGGTCCTACCTACTTCTCAACAGATCTTTTAGTAAAAGTGTATTGTGGAAAGGGACTTGTTCAGTCAATGAAAACTTTTTTTAATAATTAATATTTGTAATGAAATGAATGGAAGAGTAGGTAGCTCAGAAGATTGCTAAAATTATATAGCATCTTTCACTTTTACAAGGTTTATTCAAATGCGGTTCAATATTATAGCAACCAAAGACTACTACCACCTAGTGGCTATTTGGTGTTCAATAAAACTGCTCTGGTGGTCTCTATATGCTTTCCAGGTGACCATCTCAGTTACCTATTATTAATTTTTTTAGAACAGTGATTGTCAACCAAGGTGCGAAAGCAGCCTGGAGTCCCTTGAGATCCTTTCAAAGGTGCTGCCAGCTGTTTATACAATGTTACCACTGTTCGGTGTGCAAACATAATTCACAAAATAAATCCAAAGTTTTAAAAAGGAATCCAGGGCGTCAAAAACATTCTGACCTGTTGTGGTCTTTTTGAGTTCTTTCCAACTGAACAATACCTCTGTCATTTTCCTGTCGTTAAATAAAGAGTGAAAATTAAGAGTGGTCATGTTCCAAGGGGTGCTTTGAGCATAATAAGGGGTGCCTTAAGCCTAAGGATGACTGAATGGACTTTCAGCCTGGTGCTTTCCTTGGCTCTGCTTATGCTTCATCTGCTGCTTTAGTAAGGGTGTTTGTTTCCAAGGTTGCGCTCCTAAATGAAGAGATAAAAATCCAGAACTTTCCATATATTCCCCTGTTCCGTAGTTTGATCTTTTACGTACAATCAGAACAAATCTAATCCAGTTCTATTACACTTAATAATTCTTTGTGGCATTTTAAATAATCATCAGTTTTTGGAGGGCTGTGTTAAAATCCAGACCTAGGGTAAAAGGTGATCATCACTTTCTTGGATTTGGATGGTAAACATTTGCTATTGGTGAAATTACCGCAATGAATAATTTATGTAAGCACATATGTGCAGAATAACCCCATACCTCCCATTCTCTTTCTTCACCTGCTGTAAAAAATCTAAATCTTAGATTGAGTTTCTGCAGCATGGAGTTTGTGCAGTGCCTGTAAAATTCCTGCTTGAAGTCTTTGGGTGTGGACACATAACAATCGATGAACTGTTCAAAAAGTCATTTACTGGGAATCTGTGAAAAGTGGGTGAAATGCTGTGGCTCTGACACCACAGGTGGGACTAAACACTCAGCCCAGGATACCTCACAGTGGGTGAAAGGGGTTGGGGGAGAATGCTTGCACCCATGCTTTGTGAGTCTTAGGGCATTGGTGGTCTATGGATGATACTATTGTTTTTCCTTGTTTCCTAAACATGAGTTTTATAAAAACTTGAGTAGCCTGTATATGACTGAAGCCTACAGTGTGTGCACCTGAGGGAGAGGACCCGTGTTTGGACCCATGATTTTTGACTCCCAGGGGGTAGAGGGAATGGCGATGGGCTGTGGTTAAGTACGGGCAAGGATACAGCTAATATGGTTGTAAAAATACAGCTTTTATTGAACAAGCAGTGCATTGATAAAAAGCTGGCAACAAAAAGAGAAAGAAATGGAGGCATTAGAGTTCTGACTGTGTACCAGGGCAGCCAGTTGCATCAGTCTGCATAAAGGTAATGAGAAGCAATTCAGTGTGGGATTCCTGAAGGACTGACTAGACTCATATCTTAGAATGTCTGGAGTCCACCACAGAACCCAAATACCAGTTTGTGTCTGACTGTGTCTTTATGCGCCTCTAAAATGTGAATGCATTTGCACTGATTTTCCAAGAACAACTTTGAACTGTTCTGGGCAAA